ATTTAAAACGATAATTCCTCTTATAGAACATATAATATTTGATAAAAGCAACTAGAAGACATTGATTTATAGCAGGGGTGTAGTGAAAAAAATGAAATTTTGTGTATGCTCACTGAAATTGTTTGGAGCTAGCACACTAGTAAAAAGCTTGAAAAATCGTACATTTCAGTATTTCTTTCCATGAATTGATACATTTGCAAAAATCTTTGTGGGGTTCGGACATCCTCACTCCCCTCCCTACGGTAGTGATTAACACAGCTCAAAATACACGTCTGTTTAGGGACAGATGGCCAAATTTGCAGAGCACTATCCTTCAATTCGGAGGTCAAGAATAAAGTTTTAGCCAATCACACACTTCGTACTATTAAACCAATATTTGGTGCCGATATGTGCACGCATCAGTGCTTCATGGAGCCTTTGTGTTCMTCRGTCAATTACTGCCACAAAACGGGACAAACACKAGATTATTGTGAGCTGATCGACACCGACCAMTCACGACATGGTGCAGATATGATTGACATGGATGGATGCTCATTCTACGACACTAAGGTATCCTGTTGTTTATTTGTTTGCTTATTTCTTTTRTGTGCTTGTATTTACGACTGTACAATCCYAGGTTGAGTCCAGAAAGAAACCATTGGACTGAGTGATGTTAAGGAGAAATAACCAYCGATCTTTTCTTTCAWGCTCGATACACCTTGACACCTCGGTGAAATATATTTTTGTGGTCACTGAACCTGTATGTTGACGTTTGTAGATTTTTCCTTTTCTTTTTTTTTCAACTTCATGAATATCTTTTTATGTTTTGCACCCTGCAACCGTAAATAGCGGTGAGACATCGGATGACTTCCTCAGCAGAGGAAAGATGTAATGAAGGCAGCGGAGGTGAAAAGTGGTCATATAATGCAATATGTATTTCAGTGATATTTTCACTAATACCTCAGATCGATATTGTCATGTTCAGCTCAAAGTAATGTGCACTTCCGATAGGGAGATTTTGCTCTTATTTAATCGCGTGTTATGTCATTGCGTCCCTGCACGGCTGCTTAAAGCGCCTTCAATAGCAGTCTGTCGTCCACGTCCCTTTACTAACTATGTAATCCAGATGATGCGAAATCTGGCTCATGTTATATCTAAAACCACATTCAAATAACCGATCTCCCATAAAGTCGTAATAGATTTTTCCACAATTGAATATATCATTTTTTTAAGACTGACTGTGCAAGTAATGCATGTCCTGTCAACGCTTCATGCTCAGCTGACTACGAAATGGAACCCTCAAAGTTTAAATGCATTTGCCCCAAAGGTTACGAAGGAACATTTTGCGAAAAAGGTGACACATTTAACAGATACATTCCAATTTTTCCGTTCGTCTACCTATCAAACTGCAGATGAATGTAAAAATGGAATTCACTTGTAATATTTCACT